GGTGTCTGCCACAAAGCAGTTCTCCTTGGAGCGTGCCCCAATCACGCTTTGTATCCAGCTGAAGAGATTCTCCATGATCGGCAACAAACTGACTAAGCAGATCTCCTTCAAGCCACGCATCGATTTGAGCAAATACGCTGCCCGTTCACCAGCAGCGCAAGCTCAACCGCTTACCTATCGCCTGGTGTCGATGGTCACTCACTTGGGAGTGTCCCAGCACTGCGGTCACTATACGGCCATTGGCTCTACGGATACGGGCAGCTATTACAACTTCGACGACAGCTACGTGCGGCCAATCGCAATGCAGAGTGTGTGCAACACAAATGCCTATATTATGTTCTATGAACTGGACCTCTCACAGACTGCCAGTCCGGCGGCTAACAGGCCCAATGGAATGCGTTTGACCAACGGACACAGCACAACGCCAGTGCCGGCGACTACTGTGTCCTCGCCTTCGCCAACCCGTTTCATTGGTCCTCAACTGCCGCCAGGTGGAGTAAACGGCTACAGCAATGGCAATGCCCAGAAAACCGCCATCCAGTTCAAGCAGCATCACCAGCAAAGTCAGCAGAACGGTTTCCAGCTGGGGACCGGAAAGTTTCAGGACACTGCGAAGCCTCCACTGGTTGGCGCACACGCTAAAGGCGAAGCTAATCCAGCTCCCACTGCAAATGGTAACAAAAGTTCCTCCACAAGCAGCAACAATAGCAGCAGCAGCAACCACAAATCAATAAACCAGCAACAATATCTGCCAATCTCCTCGGAGGATGAAGACAGCGAAGATGAGAGGACGTCCAGGCCATCGACAGTCCAGCTGCCGAGCATGCCCAAGATGACGGACGATCACACGGAGAAGCCAAAGTCGCCAGTGAAGATCCAAGCAAAGACTCCCATCAAAACGCCACTGAAAAGTCTAGTGCCCTACGAATCCGCCTCCGAGGAGGAGGAAGCGCCACTACCGAATCCCCGCAAGCGGCGAAGTGGGGAGGACTCCAGCGAGTCGGACCAAGAGTCTGGCCAGACCAATGGTCACAGTAAGACCAATGGCAGCCTTACCAACGGCTCCGCCTCGTCATCGGTTCACGTTAACAACAGCAAACTAAAGACTGATGCCATAGACGAGATATTCAAGAGCCTGAAAAAGTCCGCAGATAGCGATGACGACGACGATGAGGAGGAGTCCAGCATTCAGCTTACGAATGGCTGGCATCCACAGAAGCAATCGCAGTCTCAAAGCAAAGCACCGCCATCGCCCAAGACGCCACCCTCGCCTGCGGTCATTAAATCAAAGACGGGTATCTGGAAAGTTACGCGAAACGATGAGGTCGATGACATCGACGATGATGACGATGAGGAGGAGGAAGCGACGGTGAAAATACAGACACCCAGCAAGACGCATCGCAATCCGTTCTCGAGTAGCAAACCCTCCACAGACTCGCCAGCAACGCCAGGCGCCAAGCGCCAAAAGTTGCTTAACGGCAGTCCGGTCAAGTCGCACCAGCAGCCAAGGGTGGGCAATGGTTACCAGAGCGAGGCCACCTCGAATGGTAGCACCATTAATGAGCTGCTGAAGCAATCGCATCGTGGATACGGCTCCTCGGTGCTCAGTTGGAATGGCAAGCCCGCGGAACTCGAGAAGGAGGTGAGTTCAGAAAAGAATTTTCCTCCAAGCGCTTCCTAGTCGTTGTAACTATGTCACTTGCGTTTATACTAAATCTTTGCATAGTCAACACTTTCTTTGGGCCTTTGCTTAAAAAATATAAGTTGCGGTATACGATTAAAACATAAATTGGTTCACATATTTTGATCGCTAACTCTTTTGTGTCTTTGACTAAATATTTGTTCTTTAACTGGTTGTGTGGTCTTACTTCTTTATTTTCTATGTCGCATGAAATGCAATTGGATTGAGTTTATTTACTAAACGAACTTGTTTGTAATTTGCATTTGTTTCCACATTATCCCCATTCATTTAGACTTTTGAGTTGGTTTGTGCGAAACGGATAGCTGGTCACGGCAGTGTGGATGGCAGCGATATCGTCGAGAGCTCGGTAGCAGTCAACGCGTCTAGTGGCAGTGACAGTAACGACGTGGTCGTAATTGCAGTTGCGGTATCAGACGCTAGCGCTGACGCACCCGATCCGGATCGTCTCACGGACGGCCGGTAGGAGGCAGAAGCGGCGGCGGAGGCGGCGCTCTTTCTGTTTCCCCACAAAGCACACACAATACAAACGATACGATTACCCCGAATAGTCTGTGATTGCGTTGATGGTATCCGTTCTCAACCGGGCGGACACCACAACGCGTCCTCCGTTCACCGAGCGTTAAAAGTGTATAGAGAGTTGCAAAAGTCATTGCGGGAGGGAGTGACTGCACCAGAGCCTAGGTAATTCACCCGATGACTCCGCATCCGTGTCCCCGTGCAATGAAGCTTATGATTTGACTGCTGGCCGGCACGTTGTTTCTTTCATTTCCCCGCCTGATACGCCATAAATTCAACCGTTGTGCCGTTACCGTTTTGCCTGATAACCTGTCACCGTGAACCGTAAACCGTAAGCCACTCACCCATTTCGAATACAATATGCATTCCCAGTTCTTGTTCGTGAGCGTACCGTACTCATCTGCATAAGCTTCATTACCTAGCGCATGCCAGCCGCCTGTCCATTCACAAGGTCCGAACTCCAGCCTAATGCTTGATATTCTGTTTTCTGCAGCTACTGGTGGATGCGCGAGAGCAGCGTCAGCGGGACCTCGATGACGATGAGGAGAATGAGATGGATCGTGGACGTCAGCGGAAGGTGAAGTCTGGATCGGCCAAGGGAAACAATGCCAGCAACAGCACGCCCGGCTACAATCCGTTCCAGGAGTACGAGGGCCAGAAGCGCTGGAACAAGAACGGCGGAGGAGGAGGAGGATTTCCGCGATTCTACAATCAAAACTTTCGCCAGAACTTCCAGCAGCGCAACAAGTTCAAGTTCAACCGCTTTGGCGGTCCAGGCGGCGCCAAGTTCCAGCAGCAGCGAGCCCTGCAGCGACACCTGGCCGCCGGCGGTGGCTTCAGTCGGCGACAGCCATCGGCACAGCAGCAGCAGCAGCAATCCTAACTGGATGCGGATAGGCGAGGGTCAGGAGAAAGAGAATACGGAGAGGGAGACGCCGATGCGACTGCGGCGTGTGCATTTGTTATTGGATTTCAATTTCGCATGAGTTTTGTAAACGTTTTTTAACTGCTGATGATGAACATATTATAAGTAGGAGTAGGCATAGGACTGTAAGCTATAAGCTAGAGCATAACTGTTGCCCCCAGAATCATCCCACACCTTCACCCAAGCACAGTCCCATTAGAATCTAAGCCTATCATTAAGTACGATAAAAGAAAAAAGCGAGATTGTGTTTGGCATTTTATTACATTTGATTGTTTTCGGCAGAATAACGTTTACACTGCAGCGGCAACCTTGCATCCATTGGGCACTAAGGATACCGCTTTAATGACGCCAACAATCAGAAAAAACACAAGGTTACCGCTCTAATGTTTCATTTTTAAAAAATGTTAACCTCGTAAAAGCAAACACTTAACATGCTAAACAACTGCGCATAATGGAAATAAAGCAACCCAATATTTTAAGAACCTATGCCTAACAAGCATGCAAGCAAACTTTGTACATAGATTTCGAGAATAGACCTAGGACCCATACCCATGAAAAATTGAGTGTAATTTTAGCGGCGCCCCCTTTTTATTTATAGAGCATAACCCAAACAGCGGCGAGCAGCGATATTGCCAATGTTAATAACCCAAAAAAATTATAAAAAAGTATGTTGGATGTATATGTACCCTGAATACGACAGAAAAATATGTACGCAAGCGGTCAAAAAAAAAACAAAATCGACCGGCGTATTAGCAAAATTATTGTACAAGCCAGGAATTATACAGTTTATTTGATCAACTAGAGTAATAGTAAATAAACCGTAAAACAAACTATGCTAAAAGCTAAACTTAGTTGGCATTGCGTTTGCGCCGCAGCTCTTTCTTGTTGACCATCCGTCCCTTTCGGTACTTCGTCTGGTTGGCCTTTCCATACTTGAGCTGCTTGCGCTGGTGCTTCGGAACGCTCTTGATGGTGTTGTTGCGGTCCCGCTTGGCCTTCTTCTGGTTGTTCTTCTTGTCAAGGCGCTCCTTCTGCTTGAACAGTTTGCTCTGATGCATTTTCTTTAGCGTTTTGGTCTTCATCAGGCGGTCGAGATCCTTCTTGCTCTTGATCTCCGGCTGCGTAGAGTTGTTGGCCTTCTTGGCCTTCGGCTCCTCTTCGTCCACCGGCTTGGATTTACGTTTGCGGGCATTGGGATCGAAATCCATGCCGGGTATCATATTGGCCCGGTCGGCATCGTCCTCCTCGCTCTGATCAGCCTGCTCCTCCGGTTCACTTTCCTCTGCCGTGTTGGCACCCAACATATTGCGCTTGGCGGCCAGATCGTTGGTGGTCAGCTCCACGATCTTCACCTGCACTTCGTCATCTTCGTAGGTCTCCTCCTGCTGCTCGTCCTCAGACTTGTCCTCCTCGGTGAGTTCGCGCAGTGGCTCGAAGGACTTCTTTAGATGGTTGAAGCCGTCCTTCACCTCCTGCCGGATACGCTTGCGCTCATTCTTGAGGTTCCTTTCCAGCTCCGCCTTTGCACGCGATCGTCGCTCGTTCTTCCTTTTCCGGAAGCCACTGAGGAACTCTCTGTGGGATTTGGATTTTGGGTATTAGTGTCCTGTGTGGATTTTTTGTCGCCTCACTTACACCCGTTTTTTGTTGTCGAAGACAACCTCTGTTTTCTTCTTGGGAGCCTTTTTTCTGGTCATTTTCAAATATTTGTGCTTTTCGTTTTTGTTTACGTTTTCAACATGTGCGAGCAGCCAGTGTTACCAGATGGCCGAAATACTTTTCCCCGAAACTCAAAGGCGCGTTACAATTCAAAAATGTTTTAAAAGCAATATTTATTTATATCAAGTGTTCATTGTTTTTTACTTTTAAATTATTTGTATCATATGCCTTAAATGTCAATACAATGTATTCAGTGCCAGTTTTAATTTCAATTAGTTTTTATTTTTAATCTTTTCAAATCGCTTTTCGTATATATATCACATGATTATATGTTCAAGTTCAACAAGTTCTTCTAAAGAAGCATTAACATTACACAATTGTAAGACTAAATCTAGGAAACTTCGTACAACACTACAGTCTAGAACTAAGCAAAATACAATTAACGATATATTCTGTTGCCATATGTATCTGGTATTCGTTTTGTAACTGATATATATTGGGTGTACCATAAATTCATTCGGTTTACGTTGCTCGGTGGCACCGTACTTACTCGTCGTCATATTCCAGGACGAAGAGCTTTTTGCGTCGGAACGATGAGGTGTCGAGGACCTTGGCGGAAGACAGGGCGGAGCATGGACTTTCGAAATCATGTACCTGAACGTACCTGCCCATCGAATCCACACTGAAAGCGGACAGATTAAATGCTAGTCAATAGGTAGGAGATTATATGTACTCACTTGCTCTTTAGCAAATCCATACGAGATTTGCCCTGGTTTGTGTTCAATGGAGTGGAATTTATTACGTTCGGGGTACCCTGATTGGATAGGTCCAGCGGGTCCTCGCCGGAAAGGAAGTCGGAGGCATAGCAGTCACGATTAGCAATGGGTGTGGATCCTACCAGCTGGAACTCCACACGAGGCACCAGAGGCACTCCTTTTGACGAAGGCGACGAGGGGACTATGTTAATATTGGGCTGTGAGGCCGTTATGGGCTTGCATAGATGCAGGACCTCCAGAAAGTATAGAAGGTAACGGAAGGCGGCCGTTTTCCAATTGCACATTCTACCCCATACGGCGCGACGAGATCGCCGAAAACTACGCGACTGCATGTTGTTTAGAGTTAGGAATGGTTCTCGAAGATGTGCTTGGGGGTACTTACCAGCATACTGAGGTTCATCAGCGACTTGCGTTTTCTTTGCAGGTGCTGCAGCTTGGGATGTGAGAGTAGTTGATCAGCCGTCGGCCTCTGAGCAGGATCCGGCATCATCATAGACTTTATTACCGACTGCAGCTCCAGTGATATTTCTGTGTTAAGAGGAAGACCTTAGCAACCTGCCATCTAAGTAGCAAATAATTTGTCAACTCACTATTTATGAACTCCTCGGGCAGGATGCCGCGCCTTAGCTCGTGCCACAGTGGGCCGTTGGAAGGAAGATCCATGTAGCATGCCAGCTCCAGCATGGCGATGCCCAGACTGAAGATATCGGCAGCCTTGGAGAAGTGACCCTGTAGGATTTCCGGAGCCATATACCTCGAATCGCCTTCCGTGGCGTGATGGCTGTTGGCCCTGTCCACATCGATGACCAGTCCAAAGTCCGCCAGCTTGCACGTCTCGTCGTCCTCGCCGATCAGAACATTGTCCAGTTTAATGTCCAGATGGATAAGATTCCGGTCGTGCAGCGACTTAAGCCCCCTAAGCAAATCTAGCAAGATGTGCCAGATGCGCTCCTCGGGTATCCTTTGGCAGCGCAGCAAGTACTGCTCCAGGCTTTCGCGGCACAGCTCCATTTGCATGTACAGCCGATCGTACTGCTCCCAGGCGCGGATAAACCGGATGCAGTTCTCATGGCCGGAGAACTCTTCATACCGCCGCACTTCTTCCAGACGCTCGGCGCGGTACTGTTCGCCGCGGAACAGCTGCTTGGAGATCTTGACGGCATATAAGCGTCCGTCGGAGCGGTCGCGCACCTGGAACACCTCGCCGAAGGATCCCTCGCCTAGTTTGGCCAGCCTTTCGAAGCACTGCTCGAAGTGTGACAGGGACAGGGTGCTCAGTTCTGCCTGGATTGGCGACGAGGGCAGCATACTGGAATCAGGACACCCGGCGTCCCGGAAGGAGATCGCGTGGGCGATCTGGGAACTGTTGGCGCTGCAGGAGCCCAGCGATTGGCTTCGGTTCAGATTGTTATTGTCCACGGCGACGTAGCCTCGCGTCTTGTACTTCGGCGGCCGGAAGCGATTGCTGTTCTCGCCATTGCACTGCTTGTGTCTGTGTTTGTCGTCGTGCAATTCTGGGAGCGGCAGGCGATGATGCTTTTCCATTTTCAATTTTGGGTGTCTTTTCTTATGAGTGGGTGAGTGTGACCATATCGGACGACGGGCGAAATCCCTGTTGGCTTGCGACAATAAGAGCCGGCTAATTCATTTACCACATTGTAATAATAATTTTAATCATTGTTGGAAAGTATAATTGTTTGTTTCAATTAACTAAACCTTCTGTAACACAACCTTCTGTACTGTACACAACAGTTATTAAAAACACTTAATTTGTTTTCTAATGCATCGATTCACATATCGTAAATAGAGATGGGAGAGCCAGGGAGGAATGATTGAGCAATTCAAATACTGAAACATTTTCAAAACTTTAAACTACGATTATTGCTATTAAAGAGTTTTGTTAAATTACTAAAGTATCTAAAACATTTAATTGTGCCTTTATGTGCAGCAGAAGAATCATGATTTGTGCAAATACGATATAATTCAAACATGCCGCCCACACGCGGTATTTCTTTTGGTACATAGCAATGGTATGCGCAGTATTGTGTCCATAGGTACCTGGTATATTTTAACGGTCCAGCTGCGGCCGCACTGAGTTTATTAACAACATAGAAAACAACAAATTTATTAGCAAAATGGTTAGCAGAAATATAGAAAGGTAAATACGGCGCCCAGTTACGTGGATGCAGTGGGATTGCGCAACGCATTCTACATGGGGTGCAGCCGAATTCCAGTGCCCAAGTGCACCTGCCCTGGTTATGCAATTTACTAGGCGGCTTCTTTATTTATCTCGCCTGGACAATGGCTTCTGTGCTTCTGTTGTTCTGAGCTTAGTCTTGACCTTAACCTTGAGTTTCACATGAAGATAACCGCGATTGATTTGTGTATTGTTCTTGTACTTGCCCAGCACGAGTAAGGTGCACACTTTCCATGTCATCCGCGAGGTCTACGACAGTTCCAATGCCCATGAAAGATTCGAGGCGGAACTGGACAAGGCGCTGGAAGCCAAGGTGGACTTCATCATCATAGAGCCGCCTCGCTTGGGCGACGAAACTGGTAAGCTCTTGGGAGTGTTCCTCTAAATTTCAATTTGAAGCACAGAAAATTTTCAAAACGTACTGTTCTAAAAATTGTTTCACGAATTACTTTTCTTCACAGGTCGCTGGATTTGGGTGGGCAACTGCCTGCACAAGACGGCGGTGGCCACTGGAGTGGTTTCCCTGGTGGCCAGCTTGCTCTGGCGGGATCGCCCCATCATTGCAGCACCCGCTTGTGCACTCTCCATATTTTGCACAGGACTCTACACGGTCTCTTGGAACTATGATCCTTGCTGTCAGTATCAGGTATGAATCGCAAAAATCTCGATATTCAAGATTAAGCACCTAACATTCGGCGTACATTATAGGTAGAAAATAATGACACTGTGTTGGAGAAACTCCCGCTGACAGATGTCTCCTCGCCTGTGATTTTGGGCTACTCGTCCAACTCAAAAACCAAATACTTGCACCGTGGCGTATCCTTCCTCTCGGCTGCCCTGTGCGCCTGGCAGATTTGGCGGTCCTACAAGTAGGGGATTCGATGGAGCTCCTAATATGGCCAGCAGCTGGATTAGGCCTGTCCCCTGCGGAGGCGTAATACCTAATAAGTTTAGTTTAAGCAAATAGGCGAATGCATTTCTTTTAGATTTTCGAACGATTTTAACACAATGTACTGTCTTTCGTGAAAGTTTTAAATGTTCCCAAGTCCCAGGCGACGTCTCTGACCAGTGTGTCCATGTTTAGTGTTTCCGTGGCTGCCACTTGGACTGGCCAGCATGCTCATAACTTATTACGGTTCCCAAGCCTAAACTAGTCTTAAGGGAGGAGCAGCCTCTGCACTGTAAATTAAGCAAAGCCAACCACTGTGTATAAAGCAAAACCCATTTATGATTGTTATTAGAGTCTAGTTGAAGATATCAGAAAGCGAAAGTCAAATAAACGCGATGCGAATGTTACTCCCCGCTTTAAAGTTAGCCCACAGTTAAGAGAGTTTGAGAATGAGTGCGATAAGACCCCTTGAATTCCCAGCTGATGATTTACGGAAATGTTCTGCTTCATGCGGGCACTCTGCCTCGTTCTCGTCTCAGTCGTTTTATGCATTCAGCTGGCAGTGGTTGACAGCACCGACTCCGATCGATCGAGTGGTGTGTTCCAGTGCGATCCGGTAAGAAGCTGACCCACTCCACGACACCACCTTGATGCCCAGGCAGATGCAGATGCAGCCAGAGCCGTTTAGCCATGGACTCCAGTCACATAGCCGTGCGAGCGGGTAAGTCCGCGCGATAGATAAGCCCTTCTCTTGATAAGATATGGTTAAAAGGGGTAAGATATATCTGCATCACCGCTGTATATCGCATCCCAGTTAGTGGCAAGATGCCGATCTTCGTGAGCGCCTACAGTCTGCGTGCCATCAGCAAATACTATGCCCACCAAGATCAGAGTGGACTGGACCAACTGTGCCACTTGACTAATCATCTGGTCGCTTTTATCTTGGCTAAACTCCATAATGTGTTGTTTGCTCTATATTTCGCTACGATAGCACGCCGTAGCCCCTCGCCAGCCGCAGTCTCCCAGTCTACGTATGGCAGCCTGGAATCCATCCAAGATATACACATTCGAGTCGACAAGGATTGCGGTGTCGGCGAATCCACTCCCCTGCTCTCAGCTGCTCAGCGGTCCACCACGGCGCCCTCATCCCTCACAGCCTCCTCCTCCTCGACGGCTTCTTCTGCGGGTGGCCCTCCGGTAAATCCGCTCCACAAAGACTGCTTCAATTGGCGCTCGGTGGGACTGCTGGTCATGTGTGCCTCCGCCTTGGCACTCGCCGCCTATTTGCTCTGGAGACAAAGTGAGTTTGCCAGCTGAAGGAGGACGTGCACGAGTACGTGCTCAATTCGTTTTTGTTATAACAAATAAATCTGAATTAGCTGTGAGCTATGATAAGCTGCACATGTTAGTTTCTGTGGGCATGCGAAAGTATTAAACAGAAAATCTATCTACATATGTATCAAATGCACAAAATAAAATGTATTACTTTATATTCAAGTGCTTTTTTTAAATGCTTTTAAAAAAGACGGATTTCCTGGCTAGCTCGGAAAGCTTATGATTCGCTTTTTCGTATGCATGCACACATATGACTCATTGTTAAATTTTTCGAAATTTGCCTTTGTAGGTTGACAAAGCCACTTAATGACTGAATCATTTGCACTGCTTGCAGCCCAAACGCCGGACTTTGGCTACCGACTCAGTCTGATTGGGCATGATGTATGGTCGGATATGGATCTCCAGGGTCGGGGAACTCTTTTGGATCCGATCCGTGTCTACACAGTGGTTTTTACCCATACCGAGGGCAGTGAGTGCCATGATGATTGCCCGGATATATTGCGTAAGCTGGAAGTGAGTTAATCGCACATATTGTTATTAAATTCATTCAGCTAAATTCAATCATTTCCTAGAGGTCACATCTGGGGGAGCTGCCCTACAATTTCATGGTCGCCGGTGATTGCCAGGTCTTCGAGGCAAGAGGATGGCACTACCGGAGCAATTTCTCGCGGGATCTTCCTGGGAGCGACTCCTTGGTGACGGCCTTCGTGGGTAACTTCAGCGACAGACCACCCATCGATTGCCAGTTGATGGCCGCCCAGGCTCTGATCCTGGAGTCCCTGAAGCGCCGCATTCTGCAGCAGGAGTACCAGCTGTACGTAATGGGCAGCAATACGGAAGCACTGCAGCGCGAAGTGAGGCACTGGCCGCAATACGCGAGCCACCAAACGGCCAAGTGAATCCACAAACAGACGCTTCCAAATTATTCCACTCGTTTATTGTACGCCACAAACACAAACAGTATACAAAGAAGCGCAGGATGAGTAAAGCGGGTGCCACCGATAAGCGAATCAGGGATCCCCAGGATCGGGCGCTGGCCAGGATCGGGCGCTGGCCAGGATCGGGGGACCGGCAAAGCGTTGCGCATTGGGTTAACGGATGATGCCTAAGACTAAGGACTATAAACTTAAACTAGAACTGGGTCTAGAACTGGCTAGTCGAACTCCAGTTTCCGAAAGCTGCCCTCGATGGACTCGATTTGTGAAACGAAATTTGGTCCGCCGGTGGAGGCCTTTTCGGCATTGAAGCTGCTTTTCCGCTGGATGCCGCGATCGGAGAGCAGAATACTCTTGTCCAGGCCAAGGATTAGGTCCCGCTTGGTCGCTAGCTCCTGCTTCCACAGCTCGATCATCTCACGCATGGGCATTTTGCCACCCATTTCCTGGGGCAGACAGCCCTGATCCACGCACTTCATCAGCTCCTTTTCGCTTCCGTAGATGATCAGGCGGTTCTTCATCTTGGAACTGACGCGATTCTTCACGAAATCAATGAGCCACTTCAGTGTGGATGGCACATTGATAAGGTGGATCTCCTTGTGACGCATGGGCAACGACTGCTCACCCCACTTGAAGATGCGGGCAAACTCCGTGGGATTCCAGTTGGTCACATGCGCCGTGGTCACGCCGGCAAAGTCACCCACATGCGTCAGCCCCGTGATCTGTGTCTCCTGATCCTCCATCAGGCACTCGTAGGTGAGGAAGTGGGCCTTGGCCTGGTCGCAGCTGGTATGGATCTTCGGATTGAGGCCTTTGGCATTGATGACCACCACCCGGCGGCCGTGCTTATCCCGCTGTGGCACCGCAAATATGTAGCCCTGATCGATGAGGTCGCCGAGTCGCGGCTCCAGGTAGTCCAGCTGGGTGCTCATGTGCGGGAACGTGCGCCTGATGTTCAGGTACTTGAGTAGCGTCTGCTCGGCCATCGGCACACTGAACTTCTTGGCCCGCAGGAAGCGCAGCAGGAAGGTGTCGTCGCAGCGCACATTCTGCAGATCCTCGTTCTTGGCCACCCAATTCCGCAGCTGCTCCAGACACTGCTCCCGGGTGCATCGATCCTCCCGCAGCTCCCGCTTGGCGATCTTCAGCAGCGCCTCTGGCAGGGCTGTCGTCTCTCCCTGGTCCTGCACCATTTTGGTTGGTTCCTTCTATGCTGGAAATCTGCGGCTTGTTGTGGCTGCTCTGTGGTCACGCGTTGAGCATGGATTGCGGTCACTGCAAAGAAAGATAGGGAGTGCATGGATTAGTTGGGTTTTTTTCTCAAAGGCGCTTTGTATGATTAATAATATGCGGTTGAAGAGACTGACTTTACTTACTTACTTACTTGTAAAATGCATAATTATAATAAAGAAGGGCAACTTTTCCAATTTTCATTTAGAAATCTTCGGTAAGTAAGTAAAATATGATAATGTAACCAAGTTAGCTACCAACTTCTATATGAAACCTTTCCAAATTAATGCCATCTTGGATAGCCACTAATCCAAGTTCCGACTACTTTGCCCAACCAATCTCGATGGGCCAGCAACAGTTCAGCTTATTGTTTGATAATTCTGCATATGTTTATCAATAAGACTTATTAGTGGTCTTCCCATAGAAATTAGTTCAAGGTCCCAGTGATCTCAAGGCGAACGCCACCGGATCACGAATCGCTGTAATTTGCAAATATTTGCTAATTAAAACTCGGCAGAGAGGCGTTTTTGTTAAAACAGCAACCAATGGCAAATGGACAATGCGAAAGCGACAAGATGAAAAAATGTATAAATTATTCACTTCTTTGTTGTCAGGGGACCTGCCAAACCGACCAAATGCCATTATGGCCACACATAAAATATGGCAAAAAGACAAAAAACCAGAAAAAACAATCCAATTTAGTTCAAGTTCAAAACTGTTTACCGCAATCGGTTCAAAAATGTGCGAATGAGTAATACGAAGACGAAGTGCTGGTAATTAGCTAGTACAAGAAAGAGTTTCACTGTTTGAGCGTCGAGCATCGAGCATCGAGCATCGAGCATTGCATAACAACAAGGACCGTGGAAAGCAAAGAAAAGCATGGGGAAAGCGACTAAGCCATGCCCTCCGTTGTTTTGGAGCCACTGTTTGAGTTTGGGGACAAACAAAGTGCGATCATGGGATGCACCAACACGCTCGGCTTTATACCAATATTTGCACACAATTTGTGATTTGTGATCCGAGCTGCCGATGGTTTTGATTGTTTTATTGCGGATTGTTTATTTATGGCCCTTTGTCTGCGGACCTCGAATCCCAGATAATCGAGATAGAAATGCGTTTTCCCATGACATCGACCCATTTGCATACATCATATGTCTGCGGTTTCGAACGTTGCGAACTCTGTGCCATTTAATTGATTTCGTTTTGGTCCAACATTTGCATTCGACTTTGCTTTTTTACGTTTTTCTGCTGTCGGCTTTTCAATTTTCGTTTTGTCGGTTTTCCCCCCCCCACCAACTGGAAATGCGATTTCAAAATGTCATTGGGCAATGCGCCCGTTGGATCCCGCTTGCCATCTCTTTCGCTCGCCATCTGCCCATCTCTTTCGCGCTCTCTCACAGGTTTCAACATGTTTATTAGGAGCTCGTTGTGGCTTGCGTGGCTTTTGTGTGGCCAACTGAGCAGGCCAATAATGCAACAGGCGGTGCAGTCGCTGCCTATTTGGTAATTGTTATCCAGCCTCCTTATTCTCCTCGCTGATGGATTTTGGAAAAGGTTTTGTGTTAAGCTTGTTTGGTTTTCCAAAGGCAGCACTCAATTGCGAATCCAACTCGGGCCAAAGGCTAATTGGATTTTGATACATCTTGCAGTGGTTGATTGCTTTTTGATGGAATAGCGCATGAAAAGTTACATTCAAATTAAAAAAAACAAACTTCGCGCAAGATGGAGGGTTTGGTTATTAGCTTGGTTATTATATAATGGCTATTCTGGTATTCTCCACAATTGTTGCATATGAACACTCTTCTCTGGGTTATAAATATATTGTGAAAAGTATTGGAAATGTTGAACGAAATGCTGTGTATGATGTTATTAATCCTTGTACGCTAGAATGAGTCCTTTGCTTGCAGTAGTTCTCGAAATTATCACGAACACGCGCAGTTTGGCACTTACACTCCTGTTTCGATTCCTTGATCGCCCTGTGGAGCACGTCACACGCTGCGTATGCGCAATGCCAAACGCCCGTTTCGCAATCCTTGATACGGGTTCCCTGGCCACGACTGGTACACGAGTAGCTCGCTGGAGATATAGCTGTGCCAGACGATCTTCGAGAGACGACGCGCCGATTGAAATGTACGTCCAAGCAACGCGAGGTCCAAACAACGAATGGCGCTGGCTGGAGAGGCCTCGTCTAGCAAAACAGCGCAGAAGCCCGGGGAGAAACAAAAATTGTTAAAGAAATTAACTGGATTATATAATGGCCAAACCACCACTAGCGAACGCCATGTACATGTAGCCCACAGCCGAGTGGCTGAGCGAGGGACTCGAATGCAATCCGATCGGCTGTTCGATGGCTAAATGCTGCTGCTGCTGCTGCTGCATGGAGATTGAGACTCGGCTGAGGCTGGAGCTGGAGTTGGAGTTGGAGGGAACAAGTTTTTGGCCAGCCGCAACTGAAAGTACGAAGTACGCGAACCTTTTGGCCACATGTTTTTGGGAGAGCCAGTGGCGGAGCCTGAGCACAGTCATCAGAGGTGGCCATAAAGCATTAAAGAGTGGCTGTCGTTGGGCAATGTCAGTCAGTCAGTTGGTCAGTTGGTCGCTTGGCCAGTCGCCAGTGGCTGTAGATCAGGTTCGCTAGCGGTTCATGCTCGACTCATTCCTCAGCTATATCGCCCCTATATCTTTGCGAACCCGTAGATGCATTCCCCGCCCCCTTTCTTCACGCCCATTTCATTCATTAGGTCGGCTGAAAAACATTGCTCACCGGCAATCGCGGGGCGACTGGTGAAAAAATTTGCATTTTCATGGCCCGACTTCAGTGGCAACCTTGAAAATGCAATCCCCCCATGGTAATGATGCTGTCGCCATTGCTAATGGCCCGAGCACCTAATGATCGACCGGCGCATACGTCATGCGGCGATGCGATGTTGTTTATCCAGCTGTCCAGTTCCACTTCCAGTTCCAGTTTGTGTGCCAGTGCGAAGTGCGACTGCAGTTTACGGCTGGGAAATGCGTTGGCCCTTTCGGATATTTTGGACTCTTCTTTGGACCCAGGGCCGTGACGTGGGCTTGGACATTTGGGCATTTGGACATCTGAGTGGCGTTGGCATTTCGGCATTTCGGCGTTTCCCAACCCAAAGGGCGTAGGTCCAAATGCATGGGGCATTCATCGAGTTGCGGTCATCAGCATGCTAATACAATGATTAGTTTACCCTAGCCCGTGGGCGAGTTGATTGGATGGAAGGGCTGGCACGCCCTGAGTGCTAAACAATCATTAGGCTGCAGTGTGAAAATGCCTTTGTCCGATGATAATTAATGTTGATCTTGTTAGGAGCCTTGATTCAATGACCATTTCGTTTATTGACGGCCAAAAGAAGGCCACTTGAGAAAGAGTTCCCTTCGTAGCCTTGGTGGCAAAGTGAAAACGCCATTTCATTGGAGCACCATAAATGGTGGACAAATTTCGAGTTCACCATTAGATTTCGAACAACATTTGGCAATATTCTAAGCGCTTAAGTTAGGCAAAAAGCTGAGCCACTCATGATCAGCAGAGTTTTTGATGTTGGATTAGCAGATTAAATGCTTACTACAACAAATTACTGAACAAATTTCAAGTATTTCTAGTTAGTTAATCCGCTTTTTGCTCGCATATTGACCTTGTTTATTTGAGCCTATGTACATAAATCTCCAAATGAAAGGCGCCTAAATCCATAATTTAAACTGAAAGTGGTTTCATCCCTTACGGAGACTTCCGTGTTGGGGTCTCCTGGAGTCTTACGACCCGGCTATCCCCGCTTGCAGCGGTAACCTTCGCCATTGTCCCTGACCAGCGCGGATTGACCTACTCCACCGGAGCAGGCACATTTTAAACAGATTCGTTATGTGGGTAATAACCGCACTCGCTTCGCCAAGTGCTCGGTGTAATGTGCTCACTCATCGCTGGCACGATTTTAATTTCTCACTCTTTTTACACTTATTTTTTCGTTTTCGTTTTCATTTCGTTTCATTTTTCTTTTTACTGGGCTTGCCGCATAACGAGTTTACGGCAAAGATGCCCCAACAACCCGTCCAATTGCTCCACATCAGCTGGTAGGTAGCCCGCTCATAAAGATGCCGCCACCTCTCGATGCGAACAATAACAATAATTTTTAATAAACACATTACATGGCGCAAAGCGGACGAAACAATTTGCAATTTCTGTGAATCGAGGGGGGTACGTCTGGCTGTATTGGGTAAATGTTTCATGTGGCAGAGGTAAAACCTTTATCGAAATATTCAGTCGTGCACACAAAACTGACTGCCCACAAGATTTTACGCAGCTTTGTGATTTTGGGCTTAACCATAATTAACAGCGAAGAAAATCAGCGGTAGGACTTAATTATGGTTTCGAAAATGACCGCAGTATACATCCATATTATCTAGCCATCCATACATTCTCTTTCTGGCTGCTGGCTGTTTTCAGGTCTTTCTTGATCCACCGAAAATGGCAGACAATTTGCATATCATTTTTGGGGGACTTACAGAACAATAATTTATCATCTAAGCCTTTTTAGGGCATCGATGAGGGGGCTGTTTGGCCAATACGCAATACACATGTTGTTGATACTGGCGCAGTTGCCACGAGCCCACTTGCCCAAGGTAAATAAATTCTTGGCTTACTTTTGGTCGCCGAATTGCGTCAACTGTTAATTATAATTGCACAAGACAATGTCGCTGCTCTTGAGCCATTGTAATAACTACTAGGTACCATAATTACTGGGGAATGGCCAACTGGGCTGTTCTGGCCAATTTGAACCAATTTGAACCTAACACCGCTTACCTAAACTAGATTTGCCTCCAAAACTTGATGCAAATTAAGACACTTGCTTGAAAGAGTTTAATACAGCTGGACTCAATTATCTATTTATAAATAGAAAATATCCATTACGACCATAAAAGATATAAGAAAATATATATAAATGCTATAAAAGACCTAGTAGCATTATGCAAAAATATTCTTAAATTGGATTAATAAAGTGAAATCCTAGAGAAATGTATTTTTGTAGACCAAATTCGGATTTTTCTCTAATCAAGTGGCTTATAAATAAAATTATTTAATTTCAGCCCCGCGTATGCGTAATTTTTTGTTTTGGTAGGGAACAAAATACTAACAGAGCTTTCAAAACCCGATAACCTGTTGCGCGCCAAAGTAACAGGTTTCGGATAAACATCGCTGTTATTAACATATGTACGTGAGCGCTAACAGCGTTAACAGGTGGATTTTATGTAGAGAGTTGAAGTGGATTCAAAGTCACTATTTCTGATCATTAGTTTCTTTATTCATGAAACATTATACAGAATGAACGAGCACACTTACACACAAACAAAAAACAATCAAAATTCTTTTTGCTCAGCTGAACAACAATTTCCGATCATACATTATTACAATTACTTATCAATTATAACCAAGTTAGCAGCCCTTCAAAGCAAAGCGCGACTTTTAAACGGATTCTCCGACAAGTTTATACAATTGATATCTACGCTACGTTTGATCATTACAATAGGAGTAGCTTACTTAAGATTACAATATGCTTAATATGATCTAACTGAATGCGAAATTGGGTATCAGAATAACTTGGGGCACGCTAAACAATAGGTTTTAGCCATTTATTAGTGTTCGTACATTTAGTTTTCAATTAAATCATTTAAAAATAGTTTGATTTACAAAAACTAGAAGCTACATAAAAACCGCGTCACGATCTCGCGGCACTCATAATGAGATGCGTTTGCTTGGCGCCAGAATGAACAAATTCAATTAATTGCCATGGGGAATCGGGGGGAGTTATTCGGAGACTACTTAACCAAATATTAGTACGTAGGTAATATATGCATAATGAATAATAATCCGGCATGAATGTGTGTGTGACTGTCTCTGCTTGGGTGTGTGGGGTGGTGTGTGTCTTGTGTGTGAATAGGACATGACCGGAACGTATCTAAATTATCGTTACGGGTTCTATCGCTTATCTACTGCAGATATAGCCTATGATAATCGTTGGCGCCAAAGGCGCAGTTGCATTTGGGACACTTCCGCTGCCGCGTTTCATACCGTGTGCGCAGGCAGTCGTAGCAGAAGACATGGAAACACTTTGACAGAACAGCATCCTTCCGCTTCACCTTGCACGAGGGACACGTGAGTGTTTCTTTGTATTCTCGGATCTCCTCAATCATCACCTCGTCAATGGTGGTGCCCGACATCTCCATCTTCTTCATGCGCTCCGCCTTGCGTTTAAACTGCGCCAGCTCCTCCTGCAGCCGCTTGGTCTTGTAGGCCTCTGCCTCCAGCGAACTGGTCTTCTCCGCCACCACTTGCTGCGCCTCCTTCATTTGCGCGTGATACTTTTCGAGATGCAGCTTGAGGTCCGCTGCCGACTGCGCCGATTCAATCGCCTTGCGTTTGTGCATCTCCATGGCTTGCTGCCGCAGCATCAACTCTTTCTCGATGGAGGCGACTGTGGCCTGCAGGCTGCGTTCCTTCTCTTCGAGCTTTCGCAGCACAATGTGCATGGCTTCGATTTGCGTGGTCGCCGTTGTCATTTGATCCTCCAGCACCGTCTTTTCCTCTCTCAGCAGTTTGTGCAACTGGTTGGCCTTGATGCGCTCGGACATAAGCTTAAAGTTGGCGTCGTCCTTCTCACGCAGCTGTTGTATGAGCCGGGAGTTCTGCTCCTGCATGTCCTCGAACGCCTGCCCGGTGACCTCCATCTCGTTTAGCAACGCCTCCTCTTCGTGGGAACCAACAAACGGTCGCGTGTAGTTCGCTGTACCAGGCGCTCCACTGCCCCATGAATTATCCGTGGGCTTGTGGTTAGCCATCTGTTTTTGCAGCTCGTACTTCTGCTCCTCCAATTGCTTAATCTTACGTAACGCCTCCTCGTCGGCCAGCTTCTTCCGTTCCTCGCGCTTGCTTTCCTGAAGCTTCTTTAACTGCTGGCGGAGCTCCTCGATCTCGGAGCGCAGCTTCTTTTCGGTGGCCATCAGCTGGACCTTGTCGCGCTGATCCTTCGATACGCCTTTGTACATATCCAGCAGGAGTTTCATTTCTTTCTGATCGTTCAGCGCTTTTCTGTAAATCAAACACAGTTAAACAGATTATCGTTATTTCTGATAACCAAACCAAACTTACTTTAGTTGCGCCTTCAGATCCCGCACCGTTTCGCTTTCCACCGCCTTGACATCCTTGCCCTTGACAACATCCT